TTCCACGAATACATGGGATCGTAAACTTTGGCGCAAATGTTGGTATCGAGTATGGGTTGACTCGACTTCTGCAGCACTTGCGGCCTATCTTTGTCTTTAAGTTTTAAAATGAGATTTAATTTCAAAACAAATCAGAAATATTTTTAAGCAAATCATATTTAATTACTTGAATCGGATAAACCAAAGCCAATCACTAGACAATTGTCAGTCACTTCGGTGTTAGTATTGTTGAGACAAATGGGCGCCAAATGTTTGTGCTTTCCATTGAAATCCAGTTTCTCTTTCAATTGAATTAACGCGATATCATTGGTAATCATTCCGATGTCATACTCTTTGTTGATTACAATCTATTTTAAAATAATTATTTAAAATCAATATAATTTTTTATAAGATATATATTTAGGCAAACTTTTTTGATTTTAATCTGAGATTCTGTGCTCTCTTTCACTTTGTGGTTGTGAGCGCCTAATCGTATGACATATCCCTTGACGTCCTCAATGAATACCACACAATGTCCGGCCGTTAGCACCCAATTGTCATTAATGAGAGCTCCGGCACAAAATGGTTTGCCCTGTCCTGGGGAGATGAGTGCGTGCCAGGGATACTCACCCACCACTGTGTCCACCCCTCCCTCTACACTCCAATCCGTGTCCACATCATTGACACCAGATTTGCCACAAATTTCTGAATTCCCACAACTGTTCATAAAATAAATTGAGTTAATTTTATCAAAATAACAATTAATTTTTTATAATATTACTCATTTAAATCAGTTTTTTCACAATATTCCGAACATAAAACTAAATAACTGGATAAACTTAATACTAAAAATAACAGTTTTGTAAACATTTTTAGACACTTTCTTTGTTAGTCTCACACATAAGTTTGTTATAAAAGTTTTTGTGAAGTTTTATACAAACGTTATGTTTGATGCGATAAATATCAACACTAATCCCATAAAACGACAAAATTGTGACAAAACGTACCGTAAATACTACTCAAGATAGCTAGGACGTTTGTCCTGATTGATCTCAAAATATATCACTTTTATATATAAATATCATTTGACCGAAAGTGCACATAACGGGTGAAGTAAACTTATTAACATTATAAATGAAAAGTTTAAATATATTTTTATTAAATGCAAGTTTTATACAGGAACTTTTAAATCTATAATATTTTTTTTAATTCAATTACACCTCTTATAATTGGTATAACTTAATAAATAACGATTGATAATCATCAAAAACGATTCAATTACTAGCAATGTTATCTTTAATCCACTTTTCAAAAGCATCCACTCGTGTGAATACATCTGGATATTGACCGGTACCGCAGGGAACACCATATGATGTGATGCCCACTTCATACCAGAGACCATCACTACCCTCGCACTGTAGTGGTCCACCCGAGTCACCCATACAGGTTCCCGTGCGGCCAGTACCACCGGCGCATACATTAGTCCTACTGTCCACTCTCGTGAATAATCTCTGACAACTGGAGATGTCATAAATAGGTTCATTTACTTTCTGAAGAATCGTGGCTGCCTTTCCCTCTGTTTTCAATGAATTCAATATAATACATAATAAAAAATAAAAATAAGTCAATCATAATTGATCACATAAACCACTTAATAGTATTAAAACAAACCTGCATGTAAATAGCCAAAACCAGTGGCTATACAATTATCTTTTAAACTAATGCCATTAGTGGCTAAACATATGGGCTCTAAATTGCTATCCTTTCCATTAAAATTCAATTTATCGACAATTTTCACTAAACCGATGTCATTGTGAGGACCTTTTTGATTAGGGTCATAGTTCTCGTGAAATATTAACTATAAACAGATATTTTAAAAATTTATTACAAATTTATTATATTAAATAAACTTATATATTTCATACGGTGTCGACTTTATGAGTGGATTCGTTACCAGAGAGGTGTAGCTGATCTAGGTAACCTAATTTTACTTCATATTTACTAGGGTTAGAACTTTTAGCAATACAGTGAGCAGCTGTCAATATCCATTGCTCATTTATTATAACGCCACCACATAACTCAATATACGATGCACCTTGCTTATCTTTGAAGTATCGTAGCACAATTGCCTGCCACGGGAACTCACCCTTCAGTGCATTAACACCGCCTACTATTAAAGTGTTGGTCACAGACTGGGTTTTAGGTCGACCGCAGTTTTGTGTGTTAACTACCACTAAACATGTATACAAACAAATTAATACTAACACTTTTATTGGTTCCAACATTTTGGGGATTAATAATTTAAATTGCTTTAAATATAAACTCTATTGTATTAGTTTTTATACTGAAATTCAGTATTACTGATATTTATAATGTGTTTTATGTGTGAAATAAAACATTTGTTTATTTTGATAAAATATAATCTCATACTTTTTTATAATTTCTCTTAATGTAATATACGGAAAATAACAATAACTAAATACGGAATCATTTTCAATTTCTTAGAAAGAGTGAAATACACTATTTATCTCACAATATTAGGTATAAAACAAATATTATAAAAAAATTATGTTCGTTATTATCTATATTTATAATTAATTGGATTAAATAATAGGATATAATTCAAATGTTATTTCTTAATAAATTTTAATGTTTTAAATTGTTAAAAAAATTATATTATACTGTATTTTAATTTATTGTCTTTAAGAAGTGAGATAATATTTATTGAAATATCAATTAATAGATAATATTATTTGGTTAAAAATTAAGACTTATTATCTGATATAATTAGATTGATATTAATGAAGCATTAATATGAAGTATTTATTATTACATTATAAAATAAATTAATGTTTATCGATAACTTGTTGAATCCAATTAACATAAACGGATACTTTAGAGAAAACATCTTCCATGTGGTCGTGATTACAACTGCCCACACACATTGAGGTGA